GCTAAACATCTTCTGAAAGTTCTAACCTATTTTTGTTTCCTGTTTGCCATTGGGAGAAGTTTAAGCAGAATAGATCTTGCAGAGAATTTGAGAAGCAGTTGAAGTGATAGTGTGCCTCCTCTAGTATTCTTTACCTAGAAAGAGGTTGTAATATGACTAATATAGAAGGGAGTGCTTGTTGCTTAGTGGTAAAGAATTGCACTGCCAACACAAAGAATGTGGTTTGAATCTACCAGCTGCTCTCCAAGAGAAAGACAGGCAGTCTACTCCCATGCAATTTACTGCCTCTGAAACCGCCCTGGAGGATCAGCTCTGAGTCCTTTCTGACTCAGTAGAATTCAATAACAACTAATATAGATATTAGTGTCTTCAGTTTCTTTAGTGTTTTAGAGCAGCATTCTGAATTAACAGAATAATGACAAGACAAGTCAAAGACTAGTAGAAACCAGAAACTAGGCATTTCTTAGATTCTTCCTTTTCTCCTGTCCTACTGATTCACCAACCTTGTATTTCAAGTCCATCCACTAATGTCCAACCTTAATCCTGTAGTGTGAGACACTGTCACTTCTCTCTGCCCATTTCTCCTTTTCCTCCTTCCAGATTCCCTTCTTTGAGAAGACTTCATTCATGCACATGTATGACTCCATTGTCTACTTCTATAGAGTTTCTATCATTGCTCTTATTGCAACTAAATTGTGTTATTTCTTAAAAAAATATTTGGAGCAGGAACAGTATCTTATTTATTCAATAACATATCATAAACTCATAATCTAGAATAGCCTTCCACATAGTTGTTTTTGTTAGGTGCCGTTGAGTTGAGTACAACTCATAGTGATCCTATGAATACGACCTGAATCCTGCCTTATCCTGTGCCATCTTCATCATCTCTGAAAACACTATATCCCATTGCTGAAGTCACTGTTTTAATCTATCTCATTAGAGGTCTTCCTCTTCTTTGCTGACCCTCCGTCTTTCCAACCATGAAATCCCTCTCCAAGGAATAGCCTTACTTATCTACATGTACAAAGTATGAGAGACAAAGTTTTGCCTTATTTTCCTTCAACAAGCACTCTGGATGCACCCTTTCCAAGATATGCCTGTTCTTTTGACAGCTCATGGGATATTCAGTACTCTTCTCCAACATTACAGTTCAAAAGTATCAATTCTTCTGTCATCCGTATTCATTGTCCAACTCTTTGATGCATAGCAGATGATTGAGAAGACCATGAACTAAATCAGGCACACGATGTCATTCCTCTTCAGCATTTTGAAGGGGTCCCTGACAGTGGACTACAGTACTCAAATATATTTGAGTGAATGACTACCTCAAACAAATTTAATCTTGTCTAAGATTATGTGTATAACATCTATTATGAGTTGCTAGTATAGTGATTCTGCATAAAAATCATCAATTATGATGATAGTTCATTTCTAGAACTTTTTGAACACAGGGTTGGTTAATTCAGATCCCTGTGTCACATCATTATGCTAAGTTCTATTAGAGCATTGGTTTTAAACCGGAGCATGAATTAGCATCACCTACAGGGTTTGCTCCATAATAGCTTGCCGCCTCCGGAAACCCTATGAACCTGGAGAGAGGACGAAAGGCACCCAAGCGTCGAGGACTCTCCTTCATAGTGTCGCTATGAGTCGCCTGCTACTCGACGGCACTTAACAACAACAACAACAACAACAGGGTTTGTGGAACCCACCAGGGTTTCTGACTCAGTTGGTCTAGGGTTAAACTTGAAAACTTTCTTTTGTAACAGGTTCAACAGGTTCCTAGCTGATGCTGGCGCTGTTGGTGGAGGGTCCACACAGCTGCACATTCTAATCACCTGGAAAGTTTTTTTTTAAACACTACTGATGTCTGAGGGAGGTCTGATAGCAAAATCCACAGGGTGTTAGGCTCCTCACCCAGAGGTGACATGTCTTTGGCAGTTCAAATCCACCAGTGACTCCGAAGGGGAAAGATAGGCAATTTGTAGCTTCCCCAAAAATCTGCTGGAAGGTCAGCTAGGAGTTGGTTCTGACATGGTGGCAAATGAGTTTTAATATTTGACTAATACCTGGCTACCCTGTTGTTGATATTATGTGCCCTTGACTTGCCTATGACTCATAACAACACTATGTACAACATCTCTGAAGCCTGCCCTGTCCTGAGCCAGTCTCACTGACTCCAGCACACCAAACCTCATTGCCCCAGTCACTGTATCAATTAATCTCATCCGGGGTCTTCCTCTCCTGCACTGTCCCTCCGCTCTTCTGAACATGATGTCCTTCTCCAAGGACTGGTCTCTCCTGGCTACGTGCCCAAAGCATGTGAGACGGAGATTAAAAATCCTAGCCTCCAAGGAGAAACTTGATTCTTTATTTTAGTCTCTACAAGACAGACCTATTTGTTTTCTTGGTGGTCCATATGTTCAAGACTCTCCTCCAGCACCAAAACTCAAAGGCATCAATTTTTCTTCTGTCATCCTTAGTTATTTTCCAGCTCTTTGATACATAGCAAGTAATGTGAAGACTGTAGCCTGGATCAGGCACACCTTAGTCTTTAGACTGACATCGTTGCTTCTCATTACTTTGGAGACATCTCTGACAGCAGATCTACCTAATGCATCTGTTAAATCAGAGTCGATGAAGAATAAGGCCCAAGCTCAGATATTTCTTAATCTTACTTTGTTTCTCAACTAAAACTAGGACACTGAAACTGATACAACACTATTAGCAACAGGCTTTGCTCAGATTTCATCAATTGACACATTAATATTCTTTTCCAACTCAAGATCTGGTCTCAACAACTCAAAACATTTAATTACCATGTCTCTTTAGTCTACAATCTAAGAATGTTCCTTGATCTTTGTCTTTCAAGGTCTTGACTCTTTTGAAGAATATTTTACTCATTGCCATTGAGTAGGAACCAACCCGTAGCTGATCCGCTAGTGAGTTTTCAGAGACTGTAAATTGCATGGGAGGAGACTGCCCATCATTCTCCAGTGGAGCAACTAGTAGAATACAACCAGAGTTCCTTCATTTGAAGAATACTGGCTAGTTTATTTTGTAGACTGATGCTGAATTATTGTTTTCTTTCTAGTAGCCTACTGGGTAAGGAGTTGGGCTGCCAACCCAAAGGCAAGGAGGTTTAAATCCACTAGCTACCCTGAAAGAGAAGGCTCTTATCCACTTAATAGTTCAGTCCTAGAATGTGCATAAAATAGTTTCAGCAGTGATAATTCATATCCCTATGATGTTGTTGTCATGTGCCATTGACCTTCCAGTGGGTTTTCAGAAGTAATAGATCACACAGGAGGAGATTGCCTATCCTTCTCCCTTGTAGCAGCTGGTGCCTGTGAGATTGCAGCTCAGTTTCCTACCACTAGGCCACCTGCCTTTGAAAATTCACTGGAGGGTCAGTGAACTTCAACTCCCAAGAGTCAGTTCCAACTCGATGGTACTGAACAAGAAGTGTATAGTTTTTTGTAGATCTAACCAAAAGTTGTTATGTGCCATTGAATATGAACTGATAACTGAATAGAGGGTTTTCAGAGGCTATAAATCACACAGGAGAATGTCTTTCTTTCTCTGAGGAACAGCTGGTAGATCTGAATTGTATCCTTTTGGGTTGGCAACATAAACTTCTTATCACTAAGTCACCAAAGCTCCCTGTAAGCCTTATAAGATTTGGTAAAAACACTGTTTCACAAAGTTGATGAGGTCAGTTTGGTAGTTTTTCTTCCCTCTCCTCTTCAGGATAGTTATGTATTTTACTTGTCATACTATTAGATTATTACTGTTCATAGTCCATTTTTATTCTCCCTAACCACCCTTCCTGGTTGACTTTTTAAATTTGTTTGTTATATATTGCATATGAATCAGAGGTAGTTTGTAACACAGTATGATGGGATTAGACAAGAAAAACGTATTAGGAATGAGCATTAAAAGAACTTTGTTTTAAAATCAGAAAAGGGTGAAAACATCCTAAAATTGCCATTTCTCTTCAAAGATGAAAACCTGCAGCTGGTAAACCATGAAGCAAGTTCTGTGACAGTGGATGTTGTTCCTCATGTTGACAACCCAACCTTTGAAGAAGATGAAACTCCCCATCAGGAGACTGCTGTTCGAGAAATTAAATCATAAAATCTGTGTTGATATAGAAAATGTGAACCTTTAGAAATAACAGAACTGCCAAACAGGGCCTAGTTTACTTAATGAATTGGATATAAATTTAATAAGCATACTGAAAGTGCAGGAATGACTAATATTATGCTATAAGTAAATGGCTTAAAATATTTAATCTATTAACCCTTTTCCACAAAATCATTAAAATGTTTTTCATAAGCAAGTTTCCTCTCAATAGTGATAGAAAAACATTTTTAAATCTTCAGAACTCTCTTCAAGTAGTCATGTTTTTCATTTATAACAATTTTCTTATTATGACTCGTTGCTTTTAAAATGTGAAGTAGCTGTATTCACTTTATTTTATGATAATATCTTAATTAAAAATAATACTACTTTAGCTTGGGCTATATGTGTCAGGGTTTTCTCCGGGTGCTTATAATGATCAGGAATGGTAAAAAGCAATGCAAACTTAGGCTAGTATTTTATGACTTGTCTATTTGTGCTTCATTACGTTGATAGAGCAAGATAAAAACAAAATACTCATTTAATAATTTCTTATTTTCAAATTAGGTTAAGTGTACTTCATATGAGTGTTGAGCATAGTTTATCAGAGAATATGGACTGAATTGATTGACAAAACAAATATTATAGACAAAAAGGTTCCTTAAAATGATGCTTATGTAATTATTTCTCAAACTTGTGGAGTTTCAAAAGCACAGTCTGTATACAAATTACCACACCATTTGAAAATGATGATGTGGAAGAGTAAATCACCAACTGATTATTGATCTTTATGTGTGTGCGTAGAAAATATTTTCCAGATAATACTGACTTTGAAAATTGAGTTTACAATTTCTCTAAATGGGCTAAAATTATATTAGATAAATGAAAATTCTGTCCATGTAGCTGTAAACTTTGTGAATGCATTTTTTTTTTTGGTGTTTGAAAAAGAATTGAGGGGTGGGGGAGATTTCCAGGTGCCTTAATATAAAGTTTGAAGCTTCATCCACCAAAGTTAAATAAAGCAATTTTAAAATGCACTTTATTTGTTTTCTGTGTGGCTTATCTTTTGTTTTAGAATTTTGTTTCCAGTATCAATTCCAGCAGAATTTAAGCAAAAACATAATAGACATGTATTTTTGTTTGCTGAATATAGAATGGTTGGAACCATGCATTCTTATACACTGATTTGAAATGCTGTAAATAGGTCCCAATTTGTATTGATTCTCTTTAAATATAAAATGTAAATAAACTATTCCAATAAAATTTTGTGTCATGGGTTCCATTTATCTGCCATTTACTAACTTTTCACATGTAATGTGCCTAGATTTGGGAGAAGGAAATGTTTATATGTAAACGATCATGGGCATATTTAATTAAAAAGTTGATCTTGAGTACCATATATGTTTCATTATATCAGGGAGAAGCTTGTGATATCACTGAGTCTACAATTAATTATTTTTATAATGTAATCCAGGAAAATAATAAAGTTACTTAATACTATAAAACTGGAAGAACTCAATTCAATTATAATTTTTTCTTTTTTAGCTAAACATCACAATTTCTTTTTCTACTGTTTTCTATTGTATCAACATTGTTTCAATTTAAAACCAAAATGTTTAGAATGGGATCACTTGGCCCTTCCTCTTCTTATCACCTCCCAGTACAAAATTCTTGCATCTCTTAATGGCCTCTTGAACCTGCAGTTTAGGAGGCTCCATACATTCAAACATCAGCACAATCTTCTTTGTGGTTTTGGCCTTCTTCTAGGAAACTGACTTTGCCTGTTAAAACCACCCTGCTTCCCATCATAGCCCCTCCTGCATTGCGCATACAGGGAATCCTTGCCATTCTTGTACGGGGTCTCTTTGTGCAATTTATGCCTGTACACTTCTTTTTTATTTTTATTTTATTTTTTATTATTTTTGGTGTGTGTACCATCAAATTGGATCTGACTGGTACAGGAGGAGATTGCCCCTCCTTCTCCAGCAGAGCATCTGGTGGATTTGAACCAAAAACCTCTGGCATTGCAGTTGCAGCTTCTTGCCACTAGGCCACCAGAGATCCCTGCCTGTACACTTCTTATACAAAGTCTTTCAGGGTTTGGGTACATTGACCATCTTTGCAGTAGAGTTGTCTATGCAGTGTAAACTGAAACATCAGGGTCTGTACTCCTTGCATGGCTCCATTCGTGCCTAACCAGAAAGAACTCGGTTATAACTTTATACTTAGTATAAAAGTTAGCTTACCTTTATACTGCTCAAGTCAGAAGGACATTTTATAACCTGCTTAAAATTTTATTCTTCCTGAGCCTTTTCTCTGACTGTAAGATTATTAGGATGCTGTTAATGAATTGTCAAATATGTTCAAAATAAAATGCTTGAAACATCCTAGAACCATGATTATCCACTCAGGCTAAATATATGTCTTTTGTGCAGTGTGGTGTGTATGATGACATTTAGTAAATTGAGCCTATCTTCTTAGAGGGTTAGTAGTACAAGTCCTGTGGGAGTTGTTAAAAGCATTTACACTTTTAAAATGTTTAACAGCTGTATCACCCAAAATTCAACCATTGTAAGTACACAGTTTGAGGATAGAGTTATGCAACCATCACTACAATGCAGTTTTAGAATATTCCCTTATCCCAAAAATTTATTTTTAGGGCCATTTCCAGTCAAGTCCTACTCCCACTCTCTGGCCTGGGAAACCACCAATCTTCTATTTCTATAGATGCACTTATTCTAGAGGTTTCATGTAAATAAAATTAAATGCAGTCTGTGGTTACTGGCTTCTTTTCACATAGCATATTTTCAAGATTCATCTATGTAGGATATATCTGAACTTTGTTTTGTTGAATATATATATAGTGTATATATACATATATATATATATTGTGTGTGTATATATATATATAGATATATATATATAGAGAGAGAGAGAGTGTGTGTGTGTGTGTGTGTGTGTACACACACACACATAAACCCCCGACATTTGTTTATTCATCTCTGGTGGTTTTCCCCATTTTTTAAATTTGAATCCATACATCATCTGTTAATGAACACTACAAGTTATGTAGGTTGTTGTGTGCTGTAAATTCAGAACTGACCCATGGCTGACCTTCCAATGCCTTTTCTGAGGTAGTAAATAGCATGGGAGGAGATTGTCTATCCTTTTCCCCTGGCACATCTGATGAATTTGAATCATGTGCTTTTGGGATTAGATAAATGTTTTTGTTTATCTTGAGTATATAATAAAGAAGAATTCCATGCCACTTGTGAGATTAATTTCTGGTGTTCTCTTTTAATATTCCCTAACTTGAGTGTCAAACTTTATATGACATTCTCATATGATGGCGAAATGCAAACTGACTCTTTTTTAACAGTGGCAGTAGATATACTTGTATCTATAGAAATTCTCCAATTTAAGAGTTTTTTTGAAAGTTCATTTGCAAATTTAGGGGGTTTGGTTGTATTTTCTTATGGTGTACTATGTAAAGAGTTGCACTGCTAACCCAAAGGTGATAGAAATCCATCAGCCTCTCCATGGGACAAAGATAGTCTCTCATGCAGATTACAGCCAACAATGAATTTATGGTGTCTTGGTTATCTAGTGCTGCTGCTGTAACAGAAATACTGTAAGTGGGTGGCTTTAACAATCAAATTTTATCTTCTCACTGTTCAAGAGATTAGAAGTCCCAATTCAAAGCTCTAGCTCTAGGGAAGACTCTCATTTCTGGTGGAGGATTTGCTCATCTCTTTGGAATTTTACTATGTTTAAACACATGAAACAGAATATACATTTTAACATCAATGTAGACTTAAATTCGTGATTATAATGAGCGCATTGTCCCCCCAGAGATACATGTCCATTAACCTCTGTGATTAAGAATTAATTAGATGGAAGTTAGAAAAGTACTACACTCTAATTTTCAGATGCTTTTCTACAGAAATATAGTAGAATAAATGAGACATTGTTTGACATGCCTAGATTTTGACAGTTAAGACAGTCATTATTAGATCCTTTGAGTGAATTCTAAATCATAGCAACCCTATGTACAATGAGTCAAAGCCTTGCCAGATCCTGCACCATCTTCACAATCTTTTGTGTTAAAGCTCATTGTTGCAGTAACTTTATTAATCCATCCCATCAAGGGTCTTCTACTTTAATGACTTTCCACCTTTACAAGCATGATAAAAATTTTCAGCAACTGGTCCCTCCCGATAACATGCCAAAAGTATGTAAGACAAAGTCTCACCATCTTTCCCTTAAGGAGCAAACTGGCTGCACTGCTTCCAAGCCAAATGTGTTTGTTTTCTTGGCAGTTCATAGTATATTCAGTACTCTTCACCAACACCACAATTCAAAGGCATCAATTCTTCAATTTTCCTTTCTATCTTTCACAACCATGAAGCAATTAAAAATACTGGCTTGGGTCAGGCACAACTTGGTTTTTAAATGGATATCCTTGCACTTTAGAGAGATCCTTGACAGTAAATTGGCCCAATACAACAAACGCATCCATTGATTTCTTGACTGCTGCTTCCATGAGTGTTGACTGAGGATCAAAGTAAAAGGAAATCCTTGACTTCAGTCTTTTTCCATCTATTATGATGTTGCCTATTGGTCTTTTTGTTAGAACTTTATTTCCTTAATGTTGAGATATTACCTATTTTGAAAACTAGTCTTCACTATTCTTTAATAAGTGCTTCAGAATAGTGCAAGGAACCATTGCATTGTTCAATCAGGAAAGAAGTGTTTCAGTGATGCATCTCATCTCCATACCTTTTCAAACAATATGCAGAACAGATCATTCAGGAGGCTGCGCTTTATGAGGAGGAATGTGGCATCAGGATTGGAAGAAGACTCATCAACAAACTGGTTAAACGTGTATTGGGATCCAAGGAGGAAAAGGGTAAAAATAGAGAGGGGAGAATGGGTAGAGGGGGGTCACGAGAATGTCACTCGGTGGCTGGAGGGAGGGAGGGTAAGGGAAATGGAAAAAATCCAGCAAGGATCTG